ATTATCATCCATTAAAAGCCTTTTTTATGCAAGATGCGCTGACTCATGGGCGCCGCCAAGGCTCTGATTAACGCCGGTCGTGTCAGGGTGGGATAGGTGATAGCGAGGGTGCAGTCGCTGGACTCACGGTTCATGCGTTGCATTCTCTGGGCATGTGGCGCAGCGCTGACTGCTGAGAGTGTCGACACCAGCGGAGGCATTTTGTTTCCGTTGCGAGCAGACGGGCCACAGGTCCGCCGCATGTGTCGCGCCATCACCAGAATGCTGCGTGTGCGTTGGGGCCGGTCGTAAGGCCAGCCACAGGGTGGGTGGCACCGCACAATGTAGCCGACCGTGGAAGGCTTGAGCTCCGGCACGAGATGGCCGCGGGGGCGGAGAATCGATGGACATCTAGCAGAGCTTTAGCCGTTAGGTGTCCATTGGCTCTGACGGGGATCTCCGGGCGGCGGATGACGGGATTCATCCAAAGCCCAACGTGAGACAGGAGATCCGGTAGGAGGCGCGCTGCGTATTCCCGGCGCGCCACTCGGAGAGCACCCCAAAAGGGGCGGCGCTACCGGTGATGAGGAGGAATAGAAACGCGAGCCCTGATCAAAAGCACTTAGTGGAATACCAGGGGGGTTTTTAGTGGATAAGAATCCCATGGTACCCATTCGTCGTCCCGCTGGCGAATGGGTCACTTTCTGAAGATTTTTCTCTTGACAAAAAAAAAAAAGTAAATGAAAGAGTTATGACCGGTCCATGGTGTTATTTATGCCTACAGTGGTGTCTGTACTCACCGCTTATAGTTTTTCTTTCCATCAGGACTGTACATCAGGAGTACTTAATATTACTGTGGACATAGGGTACTTGTAGTAATTTAAGATGTATCTTTATTAATGTTATATTTATATATGTATATAATGGGGGTTTGTTTGTTACTTTGTTTTTATAGTACCATAATGGCTTAGTCAATCTCTATGAAATTTGATACACGCTTGCTATCATAATATCAGCCTTTAACAGTCCACTGCTGAACATAAGCTTCCCCCTTGGGGAGTTTGTCAATAGTTGCCAAACTTGGCAGGCGGACTTTGCAACCACAGTTAGGCTTTGAAGATTTTAAGAGGGACGCTGCTGCCCATTCCTTTGCTTTCCCTTAGTGACCTTTTATGATGGCCACGAGAATGGAAGGGGTGGTCTATTTTATGCCGGGACCACACGGCAAACGGCTACACTTCCTACATAGCATGAAAAAGGACATAAGCTACTTTTTATACTGTTCGGTTTCTAGTATAGTATTATATTATATTTGTGGTTCGGTGGACATATCTCGATCATGCGGACGAAGGCGCGTGTAAAAGCTGGTTTATATACAATGTTATGGTAAATGAAGTTGTAAATAAAATTTATGGCTTATGGTTATGGACGAAACCGGACAGACAGGTTACCAAAATATTTTAAGTACTATAATTTGCATATAAATTTGCTCTTTATATATACATACATATATTAACAATATACCTAATATTAAAAAAAAAAAAACTATGTATTATAAACGTAAATGTGTGAATAAAAGCAGCGTCGGACTGGCCGTACCCCTTTCCGACCCAAGATTATTTTTCTTTCAGATTAAATATATTTTCGTATTTTGGATGCAAGCCATCTTGCCGGCACGCACGAGACTACTGCACCACGTAACCGCTAAAATGATTTCTTATTGGCTGGTTTTGAATCTCACTATCATGTTATTTCAGCTTCGTGCGTAAAAATGAATTGCGCGCGGTTTTAGAATTTTTTAAAGTTACAACTCACGCCCGTATCGTTCAGGTCTGAAAGGGATATAGTCGAGGTGGCATTTGCCAGCCGGGCTTCAGCCTGCGTGGGCCTCCCACGGGCCTGGCTTGCGGGGCTTTCGGTGGCGCTACCGACTGGTGCAACTATCATCTAGTCTCGGGCCCCGGGCTTTTGATCAGCCACCCGGTGTTAGTGTTCTAGCTGTGTTTTGCTGATTCTTAATTATTCTATAGGTAATATTACCATTTTAGATATGACCCTTATATAAGACTTACGATCAGGGGTCCTCACTTTAACAGTGCGGACTTTGGAGTCCAATCCTTTATTTCAATGGGCGGAAGCTTCGAACCAGCAGATGAGCTTGTTGATGAAAGAGTCTTGATGATGGTGTGCTGATTTAATGCACACAGTTTAAAATAGCGTTCTTCCAATTCGGCTTCATCTTCGTTGTCGCTTGGATCGTAATACTAAGCCTTTAAATAATAAGCCCTTCCAGCTCAGTCTGACCCTGAATAAAAGTAAGTTTGTCACAATACTTCATATTATAACCCAATAGTAAGGATATGTTGCCAATTTAATGTAGTGACTGCAAACAGTAACGACATTGATATATTTAAGGTTAAAATAAATAAATAAAATAAAAATAGCCTTTATTCCTGAATTACAGATTTTTTTAAATTGTAAATATGTATAAATAATGTTGACATCAGCAACATCTTATTTTTCAGGTTGTTCTAGAACATAGGCCTCCTCCATATTTCTCCATTGGTAACGATTCTTTGCAGCTTGTCTCCAGCCTTTGGGTAAATCATCCTCCCATCTTCTTATTGGCCTACCTCGGTTTCTTTTTCCATCACGTGGATACCACTCAATTAAATCTTGGGTCCATTTATTTTTTGATGACCTCATGATATGCCCAGTCCATCGCCATTTGAGCTTTTTTATTTTAAGAGTCACATCTGTAATGCCAGTTCGTTTTCGAATATCAGTGAGTCGCTGTTTGTCCTTTAATCTGATGCCAAGTATACTTCTTTCCATACCTTGCTGACATACTTTTAATTTCTGTATAGTTTGTTTTGTTAAAGCCCATGTTTGACAGCCGTATGTCAGCACTGGCAGGATGCAACTGTTATAAACTTTTTTTTTTGTCAGATACTGGTATTGACTTATTTTTCATTATTTCTTTTAGTGACCAATAACGAGACCAACTGTTATTTATTCTTTTCTGTATCTCTTTAAGCATTTGTTGTTTAGGTGAGATAATTTGACCCAGATATGTATACTCTTCTACATATTCAAGCTCTTGATCGTCCACTACAAGTTTAATTTTTTTGCTATTTGTCATTGCTTTTGTCTTGGTGATGTTTATACTCAGTCCCACTTTTTTACTTTCCGTAGTAAGTTCTTGGAGCATTTTTTGTAAAATCTTGGGACTGTCTGCAAACAACACCAAGTCGTCAGCAAACCTTAGATGTGTTAAATTAATTCCGTTGATATTTATTCCATAATACTCCCAATCCAAGTTTCTGAATATGCTTTCTAAAACAGCTGAGAAAAGTTTAGGCGACAAAGGGTCTTTGTCTCACACCTTTCTGAATTTTGAATTCTTCCCCCACTGTTTCGAGCTGAATTTTTGCAGTACTATGTTCATATATTTGTTTAATTATTCGGATATATTTTTTATTTATGCCTTGTTTGTGTAGTGTCTCATAAATGGAACCATGAAGTAAAGAGTCGAATGCTTTATTATAGTCTACAAATACAATGTAATATGATTTTCCATATTCGTTGTACTTCTCTATCAATTGCTTTACTACATGTATATGGTCTACTGTAGAGAAATCGCTACGAAATCCAGCTTGTTCCCTAGGTTGCTGTTCATCAAGGCATATAGTAAGTCGTGTTAGAAGGACTTTGGAGAATATTTTATATATATTAGACATTAAACTGATAGGTCTATAGTTATCCATTTTATCTTTGTCTCCTTTCTTATGTAACAAGACAATTGTAGATTTAGACCATTGGATCGGAATCACTTCACTTGATAGGATTTCATTGAATAGTTCTGTCAACGGTTGGATTATAATTTCCATTGTAGCTTTCAGTGTCTCGTTACTTATTTTGTCATCCCCAGGTGCTTTGTCTTTTTTTTGAGTCAGAATAGCTTACCTTACTTCACTTTCAAGAATACTAGGAATGGAGTCTTCATCAATTCCTTCCAACTTTTCTTTTTTGTTGTTGTAATAGTTTTTATTTTTATATAGATTTCGATAAAATTCTGTTGCAATTCTTGACATTTGTAGCCTTTTTGTTGTGTTGTGTAGTTTACCAAGTGTATCTTTGGACTTTATATTACACATCCAAGTGTTATGGTCTTTTAGTTGTTTAAAAGCTTTTTTAACTCCACCTGATTTCTCAATTTCTCCTGTTATTATTCTTTGTCTTATGGATTTTTTGTATTTTCTTATACTTACAAGAATTCTTTTGCTAAGATTTTCTATTTCTTTTCTATTTTTCTTTCTATTTGTAAATAATAGTTTCCGTTCTTTTATTAACTTTCTGGCTTCTTCTCCTACTTTATCTTTTTTTATTTTTACTGGAAGACATTCTTTTTGTATATTTTTTAAACATCTCTCAATAACATTGTACTTATCTTGCAGCGATTTATTTCGTTTAGTGTCGAGTAATTCTTTTCGATATTTATGTAACTGATCTTCTGGTATATGCAATAGTTTCGTGTTTGTGTGCTTATTTATATGTTTACGTATTCTTTTAATACTGTTTGTAGTGATAGTGCCTCGCACCATTCTGTGGTTTGTATTAAAGTTAAATTTGTTTATTACCTCAATGTTATTAAAGTTATGTACTATATTTGTTAATATAAAATCAATTTCATTTCTACTTCTACCATCTGGTGAAATCCAAGTCCATTTCCTTTTCTCTTTCTTCTTATAAATACTGTTGCGGCCTCTTTGACAGGTTTTATCGCTGGCCGCTAAGACATTCTACAATTAAAACTGACAGCTTGGGACAAAACAAAAGGACTTTGACAAAAGACCGATAAGAAGACGGACGTAATTTTGATGACAAATTTGCCTTTTAATTTTAATACATTTTGACGACAAATTCGGACCCTTTGACCAAAAAGCGGTCCATCGACCTTTCAAGTGGTCCTTCGAAAAAACTACAACCAACCTATGGTGCAGACACGAAGACAAGCGAAGATGACGACAATTCCGACGACGCTGCTTGCTACTGCTGACCAGGGTGAACACGACCGACAGTCCGCCCACGGTAGCCGCCAGCCCTCACCCACGCCATCCGCCCGTTCGCACTCTAGTACGTCCACATCGACTGTAGTAAGAAGACAACGACTCCTACAACTACAATTGCAAGCCGCGGAAGAGCGCGCGTTGATACAAACCAGACTCATCGAAGAAAAACTTGCATTATCAGCACAAGCACTTGAAGATGAAGAGAACCTCCTCATGCTCAATAGGACACAGTCACGCGAGTCCCTACGTCTGCCTACAACCTCAGGTATGGTGTATCAAAATAATATTAGTATGCCTCACGCTATCTCGACGGCTATCAATACTGATACACAGACACAGCCTGAAATGATGCCTGTACCACCACACATTCCTACACGCAGACTAGAGAATGACAACACAAACATGTCTAAACTCCTAGCCAGGCAAATAAGCGCAAAGGAGCTGCCCTTGTATAGCGGTGAGCCTGATGAGTGGCCGTTGTTCTATAGGCAGTATATATCGACAACACGGCTGTGTGGTTATAGCGACGATGAAAACATCGAACGACTAGCGCGCTGCCTGAAGGGCCGTGCGCGTGACGCTGTATCTGCGCTGTTGGTGAGTGCTACAAACCTAAAACTAATAATAGACACATTGAAGTTACGATTTGGCAGACCTGAATTAATCATAGAAGTCATGTTGAATAAAATAAGGCTCATGCGTGAAGTCCGTCATGACGACGTCAATCATTTAATAGAATATGCGACTGCAATTCAAAATGTTGTAGCTACGATGAAAATGACAGAAGAGGTTGGACATCTGACTAATCCCACTTTAATTCGAGAAATAATAAGTAAACTGCCGTCACTATTGAAATATCAATGGAGTATGTATATATCGAATAAAAATGTAAATATTGTAACTTTATGTCATGTATCTGAGTGGCTCATGACCGTAGCTAACGCCGCCACTTATATTGCTCCGCTGCCTATAAGGACTGTAAATAATACTGTTGCGAAGCTGCCGACCAAGCCTGACCATAGACCATGGAGACCGGTGATAGCTACAGTTTCATCATCATCACCTACATGTGTGCTCTGCAACGGTAATCATCGACTAAGTGATTGTGATGATTTCAAACGGATGACGATAGACGACCGCTGGAAGTTGGTAACTGACAAAAAGTTATGTTTCTCTTGTCTATCTGTACGACACCAACTAAAAGCCTGTAAGAGAAAAATTAAATGCTCTGTTCCTGAATGTGTCCGTGCTCATCACACCTTGCTTCATGCTGCCCCACGCGACGAGACTGATGATAGAGTAATATCCGTCAATCATGCCGAAACGACAGTGAACAACGACAGTCGAAGCTCGCGTGTATTACTGAAGGTCGTGCCAGTCGTTGTATCAGGTACAAAAGGTGACGTCACTACCTTCGCTCTCCTTGATGAAGGCGCATCTGTGAGCCTGGTTGATGCTACTCTGCTCGAGAAGGCTGGCATTACTGGTCCGACGACAAATCTACACATGCGTGGTGTGTCCGGAATGTCAACCACAGAGACGGACTCAAAAATAGTGTCATTTAATATTCGCGGTTTGAATGAAAAAAATGTGTATAGTGTAAATAGTGTTCGTTCTATAAATAATTTGAATATTGTAGTAGATAGTATTTCATATAAAAATATTGTAAATAAATTTCCTTATGTGACTGACTATGTGACAGACTATGACATACGACCTAGAAAGATTGAGTTACTAATTGGACAAGATAATATTGAGTTAATTATTACTAGACAAATAATACAAGGACATAAGAACGGACCTATAATATCTAAGACGGACTTGGGTTATGTTGTACATGGGAACATAGGACTTCGTAGTATAGCGAATGACAGAACTATATTACATCTATGCTCTTGTGACGAATTACACGACCTCGTTAAGAGATCTTTTTCCACAGAGTCTTTCGGCGTGAAGCAGACAGGTGACTTTCCTCGTTCTCGAGAGGATCAGCTGGCGCTGAAGATTATGGAACAGACCACGAAACTCTTGCCTCAAGGACGATGGGAGACCGGCCTACTCTGGAGGTCTGATGACGTTCAGCTCCCGAATAGCTACCCACAGGCGAAGAGTAGACTTATAGGTATCCAGAGAAAATTTCGTAGGTATCCTGAGCTTGCTGTCAAGTATGAGGAGAAGATCCAGGAGAATGTTGATAAAGGATACATCTCAAAATTAACTCCTGAAGAGGCCTCGATCCAGACCAATAAGACATGGTATCTTCCTCACTTTGCCGTTTTTAATCCTAATAAGCCTAATAAGTTGCGAATTGTACTTGACTGTGCAGCTAAGTCTGACGGTAAGTCACTCAATGACTTCTTATTGAGTGGACCTGATTTTTTAACATCTTTGCCTGCTGTATTATTAGGGTTCCGTCTAGGCAAATATTGTGTAATTGGTGACATCCAAGAGATGTTTCATAGAGTACTTATTAGGGAAGATGACCGACATGCCCAACGACTTCTCTGGAATAATGACGTTTATGTCATGAATGTCATGACTTTTGGACCTGTCTGTTCACCATCATCAGCTCAATATGTAAAAAATTTGAATGCTCGTAGATATGAGGCGACTCACCCAGAAGCTGTCAAAGCTATTATAGACCACCATTACGTCGACGACTACATCCACTCTTTTGACGATGAGGATGACTTGGTACGCGTAGTGGATGATGTAATACGTATACATGCTGCAGGTGGCTTCAATATAAGGAATTTTGTCTCTAGTTCTCATACACTATTGGAACACTTACCTTCAGACAAGCTATCCCCGTGTATCCTGAAGATCCTCTCTGACTCCAAGGATGATCAGGTAGAACGTGTGCTTGGAGTGCGCTGGAACCAGGATTCCGATGAGTTTATCTTTCTATTGAAGCTTCCTAAGGTGAGCGAGGACATTAAGTCAAGGGAGAAGAAACCAACCAAACGTGACATATTAAGATTGACGATGTCCATTTTTGATCCTTTAGGTTTCCTCTTATATGTGACAGTGAAGGGGCGAATTCTCCTGCAAAATATCTGGAAATCCAAAATCAGCTGGGACGATGAAATCGAATCGACTAGTTTCAAGGAATGGCAGTTATGGTTGTTGGAATTACAAAAGGTCAGCGACTTTAGACTTCTTCGTTGGCTTTTTACTGACATGTGTGACAAACAAGCTGACTTAGAACTTCACATTTTTTGCGATGCAAGCAGTAAGGCTTATGCGAGCGTTGCATATCTACGCGTCAAGATGTCAGATGGTAGTTGGCATGTAGCTTTCGTCTTGGCACGTGCTCACGTCGCACCACTCAAAGTAATGAGCATACCTCGTCTCGAGTTACAGGCTGCCTTGCTGGGTGCTAGACTAGCTCACACTTTGAAGCAACACTTTGATGCAAGCATAACACTTTGGTCTGACTCTATGACTGTTCTGAGCTGGCTTCGTTCTGACAGCGGTCGTTTTAAGCCTTTCGTCGCCCATCGTGTCAGCGAGATCTCCGAGTTAACCGACGTTAATCACTGGAGGTGGGTACCGTCAGGCCTAAATGCAGCAGACGATGCAACTAGAGAGACAGTTACCGAGGATAATACGAGATGGTTATATGGACCACAGTTTCTCCGGGGATCCAAGGAATTCTGGCCGTCAGAAGAGACTGAATTCATTGTTGATCCTGACGACGTTGAGGTGAAAACCATCTTAGTTTTAACTGAAATGCCCGTTAATCTGCCTGACGTCAGCCGATTCTCAAAGTTTTGGAGGCTAATAAGAAGTACCGCGTGGTTCTACCGCGCTGTATGTAACTGGATTCACAAAGATAACAGAAAACGAGGTGAATTGACAGCGGACGAAGTTAAAGAAGCAGAGAAGGCGCTTATTAAGGATAGTCAAAGAAGAATATTTTCTGACGATATTAAAAATATTAAAAAATGTGGACAAGTGGACAAAGAGAGTTTTCTATGCCAATTAACGCCATTTCTGGATGGAGACGCCATTCTCCGCGTTGATGGGAGGATTCGCGAAGCGAATGTTGGCAATGACACTCGACACCCAATCATTTTGCATCCAAAAGACAAATTTACGCGTCTCATCATGCACTAGTACCATCAAGATGCAGCCCATAGTGGACGGGAACTGGTATTTAATAATCTTCGACAACGTTTTTGGATAATCGGTGGAAGGAACGCTGTCAAGTCTATTTGGAACGACTGTCAGTTATGTAGAATAAGGAGAGCAAGACCTGACCCACCTCTGATGGGGTCATTACCCGATATAAGGCTGACTCCTGGTGGACGCGCTTTCCAGTATACGGGTCTGGACTATTTCGGCCCAATGCTGGTCAAGGTAGGCCGTCATCGAGAGAAGAGATATGGAGCTCTTTTCACCTGTCTTACGGTTCGAGCTATCCATATTGAGGTGACACATGATTTATCAACAAGCAGTGCTATCATGGCCATCCGACGTTTCATTGCTCGTCGTGGTTGCCCAAGACAAATATGGAGTGACAATGCCACCACTTTTAAAGGAGCCGACCGTGAGCTGAAATTGTCCGTGGCGGCCTTGGACAAAGACGAACTAACTAGGATGGGAAGTACCAGGGGAATTGACTGGCACTTTATCGCCCCTAACGCTCCTCATATGGGAGGTTGTTGGGAGCGAATGGTGCGCTCTGTTAAGACTGCTCTCCGTGTCACTCTAAAAGAAACAGCGCCGAGTGATCAAGTTCTGTCAACACTCCTAGCGGAGACAGAACATTTTGTAAATAGTAGACCACTAACGTATGTACCTATTGACAAGGACGACGACTTACCTTTAACTCCGAATGACTTTTTGATGACGAAGACAAATGACATGGACCATCCTTTGGGTATCTTTGACGACGATGACTTACTGCGACGATCCTGGCGTCACTCCCAGCGACTGGCCGACCTTACCTGGAAACGTTGGATAAAAGAGTACTTACCAACTTTGACAAGACAAGACAAATGGTTTCGACAAGAAACACGACCGTTAATGACTGATGACGTTGTAATTATAACTGACGATCAACTCCCACGAAACCAGTGGCCCAAAGGACGAGTGACGGCAGTGTATCCTGGGAAGGACGGCAGGGTTCGAGTAGCTGACGTGCTGACTTCGACCGGACTCTATAAGCGACCAGTGACAAAGCTGGCCAGATTGGACGTCCGCGCCTAGGCCTTGCCTGGAGTATTGGCTTCCAATACTGGAGGTGGGAATGTTGCGGCCTCTTTGACAGGTTTTATCGCTGGCCGCTAAGACATTCTACAATTAAAACTGACAGCTTGGGACAAAACAAAAGGACTTTGACAAAAGACCGATAAGAAGACGGACGTAATTTTGATGACAAATTTGCCTTTTAATTTTAATACATTTTGACGACAAATTCGGACCCTTTGACCTAAAAAGCGGTCCATCGACCTTTCAAATACTGTTCATTATTTTCAAATTATACTCCAATGCAAAGTCTACTAGTCTTTGTCCATTGTTATTTCTTTTTCCATAACTGTATTTTCCTATAATATTGTTTTCGCCATTCTGTTGTATCCCTATTTGACTGTTAAAATCGCCAATTATTACTTTATTCTTGTGAGTTTCTTCCATAGTTTCTTGTAGAGATATATAAAAAGAATTCTTGTCTTCATCTGTTGCTTGTTCAGTGGGCGCATATACTTGGATAATGGAGCAGGTATTCTTATGACCGGGTAGTTTAATGTTTAATATCGCTATTCTATCTGATTTACCTATAAATTCTTCTATATTCTCTTTTAAATATTTTTTTATTATGAATCCAACACCATACATTCCTTGTTTCTCGCCTTTGTAGTAGAATATGTAATTTTGATATTCTCTGATTTCTTCTCCCATGCGTCTTATTTCACTCAAGCCTAATATATCCCAACATATATCTTCTAAAGCTTCTTGTAGTTCTATTAATCTGTCTTCTGTCCGTAGAGTTCTGGTATTGAGTGTTGCTATATATATTTTAGTTTGTTTGTCAGATTTTATTAACATACTATGTTTAAGTTGTCGTTTCCTTGGATGTATTTTACTTATTTTCTGTTCATTTTCTGGAGGGTGGTGGTCTAATGTCCCACGGTGACCAGCCGGGTTGGGACTTTTTTTAATTGTTGTGGTAGTATAATTTGTTAAATCTTGGTTGTTTTTCCTGTTGCCGATGTCTGTTAATTGTTATTGACTACTTCCGTTTTTTGAAAATGACTTTGTCCTCATATAGGAAAATGCATTTATTTTGTTGATTTTATTGGGATTATTTGTTGTTTTCCCTCCTTGTTGTTTTTCAGTGGAAAATTCAGGTGACTTTGATGGTGATCGTTTTCTTTTGTCACTCAGTACTACATTATCTCTGATTATCAGTTTATCGTATCGAAGGTAAGCAATTTTTCCTTTATTTCTTTCTTCTAAAAGTTTGGGCTTAAGTTCGTTTCTTTTGTTTAAAACATCTTTTGGAAAATCGTCGGTGACATAAATATCTTTTGGTAAATACTTTTTGTTCCTTAAAATTTCGAATTTTCTCCAGGATAAAGTTAATATTATTAATATGGGTCTTACTTTTTTATCGTTTTTCTTACCCAAACGAGTGGCTCTGCTTATCTCCCATTTGTCCCAATTTTCAATTTTTGCATTTTCACTAACATTATTTAGTGTATCCAAAACAATCTCTAGCAATTCCGAGTTTGTATTCTCTTTTTCAGGGATGCCATGTAGGATAACATTATTTTTCCTTGCATTGTTTTCCAGCCAATTCACTTTATTTTGTAATGTTTTAACTTCTTGTTTTAGCACTTGATTTTCTTCTATTATTGGCCTTACTTTTTCTTCAAAAACTTCCGACACCATTGTGGTTAACTTATCCGTTAGAGTGACAGTTTGATTATGAAGTTCATCTTTAAATTTTTCCCATAAAAACTGCATCTGTTCTTCCATTATTGGTGAACTATCTATACTATTTCAGCTATAAATATGTATTACCTTCTGTTTAAGTTGTATGGATTTAGTGGCTTTACTTTTCTATATATATTTAAGGTTAACCAGTTTTAAAGGAGGGGGGTACGGGTTGTTAGCAAAACGGACTACCGGTTCTATAGCTAGCAATATACCTTAATAGGTCGACCTCCATGCGGTTTTCTTCGGAAACTTTCGTGGTTAATTCTTGAATTCGTCACTAACTCTCACCTATGACCTTTCACTGATGGTAACAGAACTGAGCGCTGTCCTCGCTCGCTGGTGCCCCGTCAGTGCATACCGAGAGCGCGGGCAGGGTTGCCATTCCATTATCACCCACAAAAAAGTAGTCTGTCGCGTCGACCTCCACGCGATTCTCCCTGGAAACCATCATGATTGATTTCTAGCAACATATACATTTTGATAGTTTCATTCCGCCAGACATATCGATATACGCTGTCGAAGTATGTGTGAAGGATGATAGCTCAAGATGAAAACAGAACAGTTAGCTCGTTGTAAATAATTTATAAGAGTTAATCACGATGGTTTCAGTTAGCACAGGTTGGTTAGTGACGAATTCAAGAATTAACCACGAAAGTTTCCGGGGGAAACCGCATGGAGGTCGACCTATTAGGGTATATTGCTAGCAATGGTGATATCAGACCCTTTTTATTAAAATGCCTTTCCCCCCTTAACAGAGTAAATTGTTAACAATACGGAGTTTATTATATGTTAACAATAAGTTTCAACCGTGAAGCAGTTGTGTTTGCATGGCTGTGTTTCGATTTGAAGGGTGGGATATGGCGTGAATTTACTGGGTACAGAGGAATAACACCTGAGTTCTCAGGAATGGCAACGCATGGCGAAACAGTATACTCTAATATGTCCATAGTACTGCTCATATCTATAGGCGACGGTTACCATTTTCCATCAGATGGGCCGTCAGTTTGTTTGCCATTCTAAGTTGTATAAAAAAAAGCCAACGTATACCGATAGCGCGGGCGGGGTTACCATTTTATTTTCAACCATTAAAACAAATCCATTTTTCATCCATCACAAGCAACAATGTTGCTATACCAATAGATAATATTCAAGTTACAGGTGCCTTATCATACACGTGCCCCGGCATTTTTTTTTTTTACTAATATCCACATTTTGCACATGCTATGCGCCATCATAACCACGTCACAGTTCCGCATACTTCAAGTCGTCCCTGCAACTACATTAGTGCCAATGTAATGATTTATTGAGCGTCCATCTTTAACACTTAAGGTATTGCTAGTGGCTTCTTTAGAAATAATATTATTTAATTAAAATGGAAAACAAGTTAATCGTCCGTCACACGAGGACGTCATTTGGATTTTGAGTACTTTGGTGGTGTAGTGGTTTAAAATATTGCCTCGTCGTTCAATGGTTGCAGGTTTCTTTTTATGGGTCTGGAAATGAAATGATATCCACCGATGAGGCATCAGTGAAAGGTCATAGATGAGGATGAAAGCAGGACAGTTAGACCATAGTGATTTCACAAGAATATCACGATGGTTTCCAGGGAGAACAAAGTGAGGTCTTGAATGGATATATTGCCAGCAATGGGGCTGTTATTCCCCATAATAATCCCTTTATTCTTGATGATTTCAGATTTTTTTTAATGGATGATAATGGAATGGTAACCCCGCTATCGTTATATATCGGCGGGGCACCAGTCAGAAGTGATAGGTGAGAATAAAAGAGCAGGTCAGTTAGCCCATCGTGATAAATATACCTGGAATTCAGCACGATGATTTCCAGAGCGGACCACGTGGACGTTTACCTGATAGGGTGTTTTTTTTATACAACTTATAGTGGCAAACAAGCTGACGGTCCACCTGATGGAAAGGGGTAACCGTCGCCTATAGACATGAGCAGTGCCATGGACATAACAGAGTATACTGTTTCGCCCATGATACCCCCCATGCGTTGTCATTCCTGAGGACTCTGGTGTTATTCATCCGTACCTAGTAAATTCACGCCATATCCCACCCTTCAAACCGAAACCCAGCCATGCAAACACAACTGCTTCACGGTTAAAACACGAATGGGATAGAAGTACCCAAGCAATCGACTTTTGTACAAAGTTTCCCTCTCAAATAAAAAAAAAAATAGAATGAATTTCAACTTATTTTATATTGTTAAGTATTTAATTATATTTTTATAACTAAAGAATAAATTATTGAAGATAAACACATTCCGAATGTAAATTTTGTTTGTTTGTTCATAACCACAGGACAGGACGGTGTGGTTATTTTCCTCGCAATAGAATAAATGATTTTAATTTGCAGATTACACGGTTGGCGTTATTTAATCACTTCAATACTATAAATAGTCCACGGTGAACCGGACTACCATGCTGGCAAGGTCAAGAGAAGCAAGTCGTCGCTTGAACTTGAGAAAAACAGGGAAATACAGCAATTTGTTTATGATTAAATTCGACCAACGTACATTATTATTGCCAGAAGAATTTTTTGTACAAAACTCGTCTGCTTGGGTACTTTTTTTTATACAACTCAGAATGCCAAACAAGCCGCCGGCCCACCCGATGGAAAGTGGCAACCGTCGCCTAAAGACATGAGCAGTACCATGGACATAACAGAGTATACTGTTTCGCCTATGATACACCCCATGCGTTGCTATTCCTGAGGACTCAGGTGTTTTTTCTCTGTACCCTGTAAATTCACGCCATATCCCACCCTTAGAATCGAAACACAGCCATGCAAATATAACTGCTTTACGGTTGAAACACGAATGGAACAGAGGTGCCCAAACAAACGACTTCTGTACAAAGTCTCCCTCTGGTAAACGTCTGGTACGTAAACAGTAAGTGGTACTACTGTACCATTCGTATTTCCGCTGTGCAGCAGCTGTTCTTGCACGGCTGTGTTTCAGTAATTCAGTGAAATTACAGGGTAATGTTCATGGTTCCGTTCATGTCCATAGACAATGGATGCTGTTCTCCATCAGGAGGGCCATCAGTTGATTGTCATTCTATATGAAAAAAATTATATTTATTTGATCAACTGAGTGACCTTTACAGTCTCCTAGTACGCTCACCCGGGGGGAAGGGATTGTTAGTAATGTGAACTAAGAGCCGCATTGCTAGCAAATACTGTCAGGTCGACCTCCACGTGGTTCCCCCTGGAAGCCATCGTGAACAATTCTTGTTGAATTCGTCACGATAGGCTAACTGACCTGCTTCATCCTCACCTATCATCCTTTACTGATGGCCCGCCAGTGTATACCGATAGCGCGGGTGGGGTTACCATGCCATTATCATCCATTAAAAAAAGTTTCGTGGAACCTTATTTAGGAATCGCTGCGGGACAGCAGTAGCAGCAATATGGCGCTGACACTTCGTAAGAATCATAAATGTTTATTTATTTATATTTATTCTTTATTGACAAATCAACAATATCAATAAACAACGATAGAGGTCTAAGGTGATGATGATGAAGGTGATGAACGGCTGTCACAGTTTGTTGTCAATATTGATTCGTTATTTATTTAGTTCTTGTTTAATATATCGCTTAATGTATATATTCACAGAAGATATATCTTATTTTTTTTAATATTGCATATAAAAAAATATAAACACTTCCAGTGTTGCTAATATTAAAGTAGCTTTATATAATATAATAAATATATAACAAAATATAATATAGTTTGACATATTATATATAAATGTCATCTATTTATTATAAAAATTAATAATATGTACACAAACAAAATTAATTACGTAAAATTAATTACATAAACATAGAACAATACAACTACTAGCCTATATATATAATTAGAGATAATTAATTAAAAAATATATATATATATATATATATATATATATATATATATATATATATATATATATATATATATATATATAATAAAATATAAATATAAAATATAATCTTTATAAACAGGATAAACGAAATAAGAATCCCCCTTCTTTTTAAATTGTACTAAAAATATTTTAAAAGAATCCAAATGTTTTTAAATGCTTTCTAAAATTTGTCGACAGACAATTTATAATTTGACAGCTTACGATCCGGAGGTCGCCTGTCAAATTTAATTCAATTCAACAAATTCCTTTATTGCATAGTAATTCACAATACAAGTGACAAAATATGAAAAAAAAAATTGGGTTAACCTTCAACGGATGACCTCTAGTCTATTTATAATTAATTAAGTTGACCTCCAAAAAATAACAGTGAGTCATAGTCCTGCATCTATTGATTTACTGATCTTTGTTTTCATTATAAAAAAATAAATGTTTTTTTTTTAATATGCTCACGATTGTAATTCCTAATGATATAGAGCTCATTTGTGGACTGTTTACCAATTATTACTATATGCGTTCCTCTCTCTATTCTCAGACTTGTTTTTACGCATAATTAGAAGCCCCATTCGGATTGCTTGGGTATCTCTGTCCCATTCGTGTTTCTACCGTGAAGCAGTTGTGTTTGCATGGCTGTGTTTCGGTTTGAAGGGTGGGATATGGCGTGAATTTACCGGGTACAGAGAAATAACACCTGAGTCCTCAGGAATGGCAACGCATGGGGGGTATCATGGGCGAAACAGTATACTCTGTTATGTCCATGGTACTGCTCATGTCTATAGGCGACGGTTACCACTTTCCATCAAGTGGGCCGTCAGCTTGTTTGCCATTCTAAGTTGTATAAAAAAAGTTTATAAACAAGTAATAACATACACGTGTTATACGAAGGTATAACACGTGTATGTTAACTTTAGTTACAAGTTAGACATGTGCAACATACAAACTACTTACATAACACACTATAAGAACGCAATAGTACCTTTTTTTTTTAAATAGGGTGAAAATCTTCAGAAAGAGACCTATCCGCCGGCGGAACGACGGACGGGTACTGCGGGATTTTTACCCACTAAAAACATCCCGGTATTCCTCTCAACGCCATGTGCCTGTGACAAGAGCTCGCGGTTGCAGTCTTCCGCGTCACCGGCAGTGCTACCACCTCACAGGGGCCCTCTCCGAGGAGATCCGTGAGTTGGCGCGCCGCGTATTCCCGGCGCGCTAACTCACGGATCTTCTCCCTAAGAACGCAATAGTACCTACTATATTTTATTTTAAAAGCAATACATATTAAAATTTTAATATAACATATAAAAAAATACTATAATAAGCTAATATAATAGTAAGGCATTTCCTTAACTGAATCATTCTACTAATTAATATAAATTAAGGAAGTAAATACGCATACATACAAGTGTATAAATAAAAAGTTTAAATCTACGACTGTGACATGAATTGACGTCACTTGCGTTCATCGAAGCAGTTAATTTATAACCTTGATCTTGCTACATATATGTATATACAAGTATATAATTTAATTATAATACTTAATAAGTGTACTTATGCAGTCGCTTACGATTTATGTCACGAGTACGCTTGGGAGGTGGGAGATTGTTAGTAAAGCCTAGTATAGTAATATGGGGGGGAAAGGGATTGTTAGTAATGGAAACTGAGAATCCCATTGCTAGCAATATACCCAACCAGGTCGACCTCCTCGCGGTTCTCCCTGGAAACTATCATGGTTAATTCCTGATGAATTCATCATGATAGGCTAACTGGCCTGTTTTCATTCTCATCTATCGCCCTTCACTGGTGCTCCGCCAGCGTATCCCGTTAGCGCAGGTGGGGTTACCATACCATTTTCATCCATAAAAAAAAAAATATAGTAATATATTATTTGTGGTAATGCGAACTACCATAGATAGATTAGTTGTTATGTTATTAATTGCTAAGTTGCATAAAAAAAAAAACTTAGTTACAAATTTATGTTCAAAAGGTTGTCCCATTCGTGTGGCGTGAATTTACTGGGTATTAGTTGCACTGGTTGTTTATAAAGCTTTTTCTACCGCTTTTTCTTTTCCCTACCGCCAATTCGGAACATAATTTCAGCCAGGAAGAACCGACGAGAACCTCAATACTTGTTTTTTTTCAAAAAGTTTTAATTATATAAATAAATAATGAATTTGTGTAAAGTAATGAGTTTGTGGGAAACTACCAAAACGTTGTATTTACAATAGTTTATTTAAAACTCTAAATTTTTGCCCGAAACTGGGAAAAAGAATCTAATGCGACAATACTGGCATGCGTGATTGCTTGTGAAGCTTTTAGTAAACGTATCACGTAAATACGGGGAAATAGTTCATACACGTGAATGACGTAAGCAAAGCTTGTATGAATTATGTATGGCTCATGAGCCATTTACTGATATAATAGTATATTTTATTTATTAAATCTTCACTTATATTATTAGTATGAAATTGTGTTTGTTTGTTGGCGCTCTTACCTCTTGGCGCCTTCATTGTTTAACCAATTTCTATGAAATTTGTAGTACACGTAGTCTTTGAGATGGAGGAGGGTATATTGCTAGCAATGGGACTGGTAGTTCGCATTACTAACAATCCCTTCCCCCACCGCGTTAGAAGCAATGAGAAAAAACACTGCCATGTGATCCCGCCATGGTATAGGCCACACCTTTCTTTCCCGTGGGTGTCGTAAGAAGCTACTAAAGGAATTTAACAGTCGAGGGATAGACAGTAGCGTCCCTCTTAAAATATCCCCTAAAAGCCTAACTGCGGTTGCCAACTCGCTTGTCAAGCGTGGCAACTACTGGCAAAACTCTCATTCTAGGGAAGGCTTATGTTCAGCAGTGGACAGTTAATGTCTGAAAAAATAATAATAATAAATGTGGGGGGTGACGTCCCCCGAAATCATTCCAATCGTTATGTCGGTGAACGGTCTTATCCCAACCTGATTTTATTTAATGGCTGATATGGTATGGCATGGTAAACAAACAGAAATTATCAATATACAAAATAATAACAAAACAATTAAATATGTAACTACATTTATTTTTCATACAAATTAATCAACATTACAATGTTTCAAATGTAATAAATTTTACTACTTACATTTTTTTTATAAAATTTAATTTAATTTCTCATTTAAAATGGCACGTACGTGATTTTTTTCAGACATTTATCTTATAAATTATAACTAATTCAGTGTATTCACATCTAATTTATATTACTGTAATATAAAATTAATTAAAATAATAGTCAAGTGAACAACATAAAACAAAAATGTATGACTCTTCTTAGAAGTAACATAATCTTACTAATATATTAAAAATGTAACTTAAAATTATGAGGGGTTCTAATAAGATCAATAGACGTGATGACAATAATTTAAAAAAATTATTTTTAATTCTAATTTAAGAATCGTTCTGATCTGGGAAATTTTGAAATCTAATTTTATTTTATACAACACTTACAACACTGAAAATAGTTCTTTTGTTTTGATTAAAAAAAAAAACATGTGTCAGCCTATTTGACATTTGGCATGTCGCTGCCAAAAATTCGAATTCTGTATCTGTGTTCGTAAATTAAAAATAAAAAATGTAAAAAAATTCGGCCTCTATTGGCCTGTTTTTTAATACTTGATCCTCTATGTATATAATCTAAAACAATAGGTTAGTTTATAAAAAAAAAACATAGTAAGTTCAAAAATGGGAAAATACTTTTGTGTATACTGAAAATTTTAAATTACTATTTTAATATCGATTCCGAAAATATCTAAATTGGTACTAAAGTCGTCTAAGGTCCGTCTCGTTTCTAATAGCTTAAAAATTAAATAAAGTCAATGAAGTATGCCTAAGTTGATTGCTTTAAGATATAATTAATCTAATGTTACCTAATTATTTTATACCAATTATCAGTTGAAATCAGTTTGACCGGAAAATATATTTGACTGTACTATAATATAAAATATATATGTAAATTTAAAAATGACAATTTCCATCGTGCCTCCCACCAAATTGTTTATAATTACTCCTCTCCATCCAAAGTTTGACTGAAAGAGATCGCTTTTAGCGATAAGGCCGCCCATTGTTTCCTCACTGTGATTATTTCTTGTAATTGTTTATATTTATAATAAGTTTACTATTGTAATCTTATGGAAGAAACAATAAATTAACTCTGTTGTATACAAAATAAAAATACACTTAAATTATAAACACATATATATTCTATGTATGTTATGTTGCAGCTAAGAACAAGGAATTACATAGAGGGAGTGATAAAATTGACAATTCATATCAGGCTAGTGTAAAGAAAATGTTATACGGCCGTATAACCCTACCAGATTCAAATACAACCTGCTTGCATACTTTCTACATAAACTGTGTCGAATATATAATATAGTAATGTAAAATTTGTCATTGACAAATAACTGACATATCAAACATTTTCTATACACTAGCCTGCTATGAATTGAGAAAAATAGCAACTGATGGTGTATCTTTCGTCTTCTTTTTACAAATTATATTTGCACAAGAAGAAAGGAGACAACCATATGATTTACAGTTTTTATTTTATCATTCCTTCTATGGAATCCTTTGTTTTAAGTTTTGCAGTTTATTTTCCAGTTGTTTTGTTTTTTATATTTTTATTTTATTTATTCATTAGTACATATATGTGTACAAGGCGGACTTAATGCTAAAAGCGTGCTCTCCCAGTTGACCATAGGGAAGTGTTATTCTTTATTGTGCAATAAAATGTGTATAATTGACGTGATTAATGTCTGTTTATTGGGGAGAAGGGATTGTTAGTAATGCGAATTATCAGTCTCATTGCTGACAATATAGCCTAACAGGTTGACCTCCCCGTGGTCCCCCTGGAAACCATCGTGCTGAATTCCAAGTGTATTCCTCGCGATGAGCTAACTGACCTGCTTTTTTATCCTCATCTGTCACTGGTGCCCCGACAGCGTATACCGTTCGCGCAGGCGGGGTTACCATGCCATTATCATTCATTAAAAAAAAAAAATGTCTGTTTATTATTTATATTCATAATTAATTACTGTACACATAAAACATAATACTGGTCATCATTTGTTGAAGTTTTAATACTGGCTGTTGACACTGAGGTTTTTTAGAACAATGTATAATTTTTAAGTTTGTTCTATGTCAGATTTCTATAAGACATGTCTCGTATTTTTTTCACTAAACATTATTTTATATCTCAAATACATATAGATAGATAGATAGATAGGTAAACACTTTATTTGAGCCATTTATGACACACGTAAATTAACAAATAAGTTTATACAATCTGATTATTTACATTTTTTCAAATATAAAACAAAAGATGAAGTATGGAGATATGTTTTCACCATGTGTGTCACAGTGACCCAAATAGGCTACAGCTCAGTGATAGTTTTGCTTAAAAGCAAAGCACTGATTTTCAGCTGCAACCTGTTGCACGCGTCCGTGTAGGACTACCGTCTAAACCCAGAGTGTGAGCTGTGTAACCAATGTATGTTTTATTATCGCATCCTGCTATTTACAACATTATTAGCATCACCACTTCGGACAATGTTATTGCTAAATTATTTTAATAAAGACGTAAAATATATTATTTTTAATAACAAAAGGTAATTTATTATTATCGTATTGGATAATATCGTACGATACATCGACGTGCGGTACGGTGTAGCGGTACGGTACAGCGGTACGTAGCGGTCAGGCGACAAGCGGCGGCGCGTGCGCAGGCGCCGAGGCCCGCAGCTGGCGCAGCGTGCGGCGGCACGACACGCGGCGCGAGCCCAGCCGCGGGAACCCGGCCACGCGCTCCACCACCACCGGCGCTTCACGTCTGTCGCCACACCAATATACCAATATTAATTTTTTTTTATACGACTTAGAATGACCAAGAATCTAACGGCCCACCTGATTGAAAGTGGTAACCGTCGCCTATAGACATGAGCAGTACCATGGACATAACAGAGTATACTGTTTCGCCCATGATAACCCCCATGCGTTGCCATTCCTGAGGACTCAGGTGTTATTCCTCTGTACCCTGTAAATTCACGCCATATCCCCACCCTTCAAACCGAAACACAGCCATGCAAACACAACTGCTTCACGGTAGAAACACGAATTTATTTATTTATTATTTATTGCACAATAAAACTTTGTACAAGTGGCGAGCTTAATGCCATATAGCATTCTCTACCAGCTAATCATTAGGTGAAAACAGAAAGCGTATGAAGGGCAGATGTGGTGAAAAATATGTGACATAATTATAGCAACATACTGAAATAATTATACGTAGTAATACATAAGAAATACATATATAATATTTATATAATTCATTAAGTATTGCTTTATTTTCCCTCTATTCAAAAATGCACCGCTTACGTATTTCTCGGTTTGCCCAATGGTTGACTGGTAGAGAACACCGTCCGGTGTTAAGTCCGTTAAATGTACGTAGAATTTTACTGTGCATTAAAGTTTAAATAAATAAATAAAAATTCTATGAATAAATTCTTACTTTCTTCTTCTTCTTCTTTCTTTTCTCCATCAGGTGGGCTGTTAGCTTGTTAAAGTTACAAAAAAATTCGAACTCACCTGAAGAACATGTGGTGTTCAACACTGCACCGCCAGAGTTTCTTGGCAGCTGTGGTGGAAGTCAACCGAAATATAAGGTGGGTCTCGTAATCGTCGAACTCTCCAGCTCTCAGCCGGAGCGTGTATGTCCGTTTGTTGTAGCTTATCTTGGTTATTTTCGTCCAGGGAAATCGGTTCATTATCTGTCTGAAATTGAAAGTAAATATTTAGCAGTGGGTAATCTTATATATGTATATATATAGTACATTACTGCAGCGGCCAGCAACTGAGGCATTGATGGACGTGCAAATGTGGGCCGAGACGTAGCCGAGGCAATTATCGATTTTTTTAAACTATCAAACTGAGTGTCCGAGTGTCTAGTGTCTGAGTGTCTAGTGTCCGAGTGTCTGAGTGTCCGAGTGTCCAGTGTCTAGTATCTAGTGTCTAGTATCCGAGTGTCCAGTGTCCGAGTGTCTAGTGTCTGGATGTCTAAGGTCCGAGTGTCTAGTGTCCGAGTGTCTAGTGTCTGAGTATCTAGTGTCAGAGTGTCTAGTGTCTGAGTGTCTAGTGTCTGGATGTCTAGGGTCTGAGTGTCTAGTGTCTGAGTTGTCCGAGCATCTAGTGTCTGGATGTCTAGGGTCCGAGTGTCTAGTGTCTGGATATCTAGGGTCCGAGTGTCTAGTGTCCGAGTGTCTAGTGTCTGAGTGTCTAGTGTCAGAGTGTCTAGTGTCCGAGCATCTAGTGTCTGGATGTCTAGGGTCCGAGTGTCTAGTGGTCCGAGTGTCTAGTGTCTGAGTGTCTAGTGTCCGAGTGTCTGAGTGTCCGAGTGTCGTATGTCTGAGTGTCCAGTGTCTAGTGTATGAATGTCTAGTGTTTGAGTGTCTAGTGTCTGAGTGTCTAGTGTCTGAGTGTGTAATGTCTGAGTGTCTGAGTGTCTAGTGTCTAGTGTCCGAGTGTCTGAGTGTCTGAGTATCCGAGTGTCCGAGTGTCCGAGTGTCCGAGTGTCCGAGTGTCCAGTCCAGTGTCTAGTGTCTAGTGTCTAGTGTCTGAGTGTCTAGTGTCTAGTGTCTGAGTGTCTAGATGTCTAGTGTCAGAGTGTCTAGTGCCTGAGTGTCTAGTGTCCAAGTATCTGAGTGTCCGAGTGTCTAGTGTCTAGTGTCTAGTGTCTAGTGGCTGAGTGTCTAGTGTCTAGTGTCTGAGTGTCTAGATGTCTAGTGTCCGAGTGTCTAGTGTCCAAGTGTCAAGTGTCTAGTGTCCGAGTGTCTTGTGTCTGAGTGTCCTGTGTCTGAGTGTCCAATGTCTAGTGTCTGAGTGTCTAGTGTCTGAGTGTCTAGTGTCTGAGTGTCTAATGTCTGTATGTCTAATGTCCGAGTGTCTAGTGTCCGAGTGTCTAGTGTCTGAGTGTCTAGTGTCCGAGTGTCTTAGTGTCCGAGTGTCTAGTGTCCGAGTGTCTAGTGTCTGAGTGTCTAGTGTCCGAGTGTCTGAGTGTCCGAGTGACCAGTACCTGAGTGTCCAGTGTCTAGTGTCTGAGTGTCTAAATGTCTAGTGTCTAAGTGTCCAGTATCTAGTGTCTGAGTGTCTAGATGTCTAGTGTCTTGATGTCTAGTGTCCGAGTGTCCAGTGTCTGAGTGTCTAGTGTCTGAGAGTCTAGTGTCCGAGTGCCTAGTGTCCGTGTGTCTAGTGTCTGAGTGTCAAGTGTCTGAGTGTCAGAGTATCTAGTGTCCGAGTGTCAATTGTCTGAGTGTCAGAGTATCTAGTGACCGAGTGTCTAATGTCCGAGTGTCTAGTGCCTGAGTGTCTAGTGTCAATGTGTCTAGTGTCTAGTGTCAGTGTGTCTAATGTCTGAGTGTCCAGTGTCCGAGTGTCCAGTGTCCGAGTGTCTAGTGTCAGTGTGTCTAGTGTCCGAGTGTCTGAGTGTCCGAGTGACCAGTACCTGAGTGTCAGTCGGTCCCCAGGGACCGGCGCCGGCTACACGGAACGTTCGCTGCCGGTCCCCAGGGACCAGCGCCGGGCTCAACGTGTTATGGTCGAGCGAAAAACAGAAGCTTTCCTCTCAAAACATCGTCAAAAACCTATAATTGGTATGCCGGGACCACACGGCGAATATGCCTGTACCATTGTCACAGTATTAAAAAGCCTTTATCCTTAAATGGCTATTTACACATCTTACCCATCTCTATGGACAGCAACTCCTGGAGCCGACACAGCTAGCACTATGTCCACCTCGGAACTGTCCCGGGCACAATGCAGTTCAGCACCATATAAAGGCAATCTCTTGACGCTCTCCAAATAGTTCGACTCTGCCTCCGCCGGGGTTTGACCTCTGCGGACAGTGGATTTTGGGATTTAGCCCTGACAAATATATAAATTTGCATCTCTGAACTAATCCTAACTGCGTGGGGGGAAAAGAAGAAGTATACCCCATTAGATCGACCTCCATGCGGTTTCCCCTGGAAACCATCGTGACTAATTTATCGTTGAATTCTTCACGATGGACTAACTGACTTGCCTTTCTATCCTCACCTACCTTCCCTCACTGGTGCCCCGCCAGCGTATACCGTTAGCGCAGGCAGGGTTACCATTCCAGTATCATTCATTAAAATAAAAAAAATCTAGTTACGCGAGAGAAAATGGATTAGTAGTAATAGAGATTAGCAACCCTATTGCTAGAAATATACCCTATTAGATCGACCTCCTCGCGGTTCCCCCTGGCAACCATCTTGATTGATTCATTAGTGAACTTGTCACGATCAGCTAACTGACCTGCTTCATCTTCACTTATCGTGTGAGGGACACTGGTACCCCGCCAGAGCCATTAAAAGAAAATCCTAGCTATGTATCATCATGGAAGCAGCACTATCAGGTAAATATCATCAGAACATCAGTAAACCTGATATAGGTATAACCTGCCGGGATTATGTAATATTATATCATGGGATTAAAATACCTCACCTGTGCTATCGGTATTCACTGGCGGAGGACCAGTAAGGGATGACAGACGAGGTCCCAGAGGGAGACTTTGTACAAAAGTCGATTGCTTGAGTACCTCTGTCCCATTCGTGTTTCAATCATGAAGTAGTTGTGTTTGCATGGCTGTGTTTCTATTTGAAGGATGGGATATAGCGTGAATTTACTGGATACAGAGGAATAACACCTGAGTCCTCAGGAATGGCAACGCATGGGGTTTATCATGGGCGAAACAGTATACTCTGTTATGTGCATGCTACTGCTCATGTCTATAGGCGACGGTTACCACTTTCCATCAGGTGGGCCGTCAGCTTGTTTGCCATTCTAAGTTGTATAAAAAAAAAGTCAGAATTGTTAATTGGATTGTTGACCTCATTGCTAGCAATATATCTTATCAGGTCAACCTCTAAACGGTTTTTCCTGGAAGCTGTGTTTTATAGTTAGGGAGGCAAACTAGCAGACGGTCCACCTGATGGGAAGCGGCTACCGTGGCCCATGAACACCTGCAGCACGAGAGGTGGTGCTTTGCAGATCTTTTAAATGTTTTTAGGCACGTTTTTGGAAATGCCCCATATTATATTGTAAGGGAATAACTGAAGAATAACTGATGATTGATTCCTAGTAAATTTGCCATGATGGGCCAACTAACCTTTTTTTTATACAACTTAGAATGGCAAGCAAGCTGACGGCCCACCTGATGGAAAGTGGTAACTGTCGCCTATAGATATGAGCAGTACCATAGACATAACAGAGTATACTGTTTCGCCCATGATACCCCCCGTGCGTTGCCATTCCTGAGGACTCAGGTGTTATTCCTCTGTACCCAGTAAATTCACGCTATATCCCACCCTTCAAACCGAAACACAGCCATGCAAACACAACTGCTTCACGGTTGAAACACGAATGGACAGAGGTACCCAAGCAATCGACTTTTGTACAAAGTCTCCCTCTGGTTATCATTCTCACCTATCATTTCTTACTGGTGCCCGTCAAGGTACACCGATAGTGCAGGGGTGGAGCTGAGGGTTACCATTGCACTCTGATCCAAGAAACTGATAACATTCAGAGTTACCTGTGTTTCTTGTACAGTTCTTCAACTCTCTCCTCCATGTCCGGTGTGAAGACCCTGAGAGGTATGGGTCCACTTTCAGCGAGCAGTGCCGGTGACACCCTCCCCGGCTCGTAGTCTCCCAACTCCGCTTGGAGTCTGTACGAAGCCAGTAGTGCGTAGGTAATACTGGAACAGTTCAGTCGACCTGTAGGTGTGAAAGTTTATTTATAGGACGGACTACCCTCCAAAAATGGATTAAATTTTTTTCAGGTATTCTGTATGCGGTTTCCTTGTTGTATCATAATTTCTAAATACCTCAACAGATTTATATGTGTAGGGTATAGTTAGAATCTTTAAATCATCCCGAGTGATACGGGCTATATATTTTTTTAAATAGTTCGTATATTTTTATTTTTTTATTTTATAAGTATCTACTATTTTGTAGGCATAAATACCGATCCGATATCTATCTTTATATTAGGTTATTCTGTACATTGATTGGCGAAAAAAAGGTAAACATCCATTTCGATATCACCCATATCGGTCGGATCTATTCTATCTATTGTCGAATATATTTTTTTTACAACACATGGGGCAAACGAGCATGCGGCTCACCTGATGGTAAGTGACTACCGCCGCCCATGATCACCCACAACACCAATGGCATTGCAGGTGTGCTGCCGGCCTTTTAAAAGGAATATGCTCTTTTCTTGAAGGTTATGTTGTCGTATCGGTTCGGAAATACTGCTGCTGGAAGTCGATTCCAAAGAGTAGTTGTGCGTGGAAAAAAGTGCCTTGAAAAACACATGGTGGAAGACCGCCACGCGTCCAGATGGTTGGGATGAAATTTTAGTTTATGGCGGGTTGTACGATGGTGAAAATCAGCAGCAGGTATCAATCCGAACAATTCGTCAGAGCACTCCCCATGATAAATTCTGTAGAAGATGCACATAGATGCAACATCTCTACGCAGTTTCAGTGGGTCGAGTTGGATAGTAAGGCGCCAATCGTCAATAATTCGAGCTGCCCGACTTTGAATGCGGTCTAACGGAAAGTCTAAAAGTCTGTGATCCAATATTATTTTTTGGATATCAGACTTTTAACTTACTTGTTACTATTATAGTATATATAACTAAAATATATAGATATTGGTGTACCTATATTACCTACCTGTAATGTTTTGTTTTTTTTATACAACTTAGAATAGCAAACAAGCTGACGACCCACCTGATGGAAAGTGGTAACCGTCGCCTATAGACATCAGCAGTACCATGGACATAACAGAGTATACTGTTTCGCCCATGATACCCCCCATGCGTTGCCATTCCTGAGGACTCAGGTGTTATTCCTCTGTACCCAGTAAATTCACACCATATCCCACCCTTCAAACCGAAACACGGCTGTATTTCGGTTTGAAGGGCTATGCAAACACAACTGCTTCACGGTTGAAACACGAATAGGACAGAGGTACCCAAGCAATCGACTTTTGTACAGTCTCCTTCTGGTAAAATATTATCATTTATATATTATTATTTCTAATGTAAGTAGTATATTCATTTACTTTAACATTTATTATATAAGTAGGTAGGTATTATATGTATTTATAGTGTATAAATGTATGTAATATTTTATTATATATTTTAATATTTTATTTAACTGTATATTTGTTTATGTATTAATAGCTGTATCACTTCAGCTGCCCGCTAACGAAATGCTTTCTTACTGTACTGGGTTGACTGGAAGAGATCTCTGTCAGAGATAAGTCCACCCTTGCTCACAACATTTATAAATACATTATTTTATATGTAACTTACAAGTGCAATAAATATATATATATATATATATATATATATATATATATATATATATATATATATATATATATATATATATATATATATATATATATATATATATAGTCGGATAAAAATATGCTATATAATTATGTCAAAGTTACCTTCAACCAAGTCTCGACGGACGGCAAGCACCAGTTGGTTTCTGGTCATATCGTCCTGAAGTTCTGACGGCTCCGGGGGGTAAAATTTAACCGCAAACCGCACGTCCCAGGGCTCATCTGGAAAATTTTATATTTCTCAAATTAATTAAATTGGAAATAAACATTATTTTATATAAAAAAGGCGAGAGTCTTATTATTTATTTATTTATTCATTAGTACAAATATATGTAGATACATGGCGGACTTAATGCTAAAAGCATTCTCTCCCAGTCAACCGTAGGGAAGTGTCAGAATACTCGAATGCGGTACTACTAATTATTGATATACATACATATTAAAATTACATATATAAACAAATAAATATATATGAATAACAAATATACTTACACATATATGACATATACTATATTATACACGAAATTGAGAATAATATAAAGCACTTACTGCTCGGATAAAGTAAAAAAGTGAGCGTGAACGCTTTTTTAAAGACGGGTTTCTTCTTTTTCTTCTATGTATAAACGGATATCATCAATATCATACCGTATCCCCCATTTCTTTTGCCCATGATACCCCCCTCCCCCCCCATGCGTTGCCATTCCTGAAGACTCATGTGTTATTCCTCTGTACCCAGTAAATTCACGATCTTCAAACCGAAACACAGCCATGCAAACACAACTGCTTCACGGTAGAAACACGAATGGGACAGAGATACCCAAGCAAACGACTTTTGTACAAAGTCACCCTGTGGTAAGAGGTTAAATTTAGGAAGTTAAATTTTGGTGTTTCTAAAGGTCTGATTTAAAATTTGCTATAATTAATGTATTGCATGCATGCATTTTTGCTACTTTTAATTCGCTTTGCTAATTTGCTATTTTCTTCTTTTTGGTTGAGTGTCTGTCTTTTTATACTCACTCCTGAAAGTTTTCGAGAGTCGCCTGCCAAGGTCGACCCAGACGCGCGGGTCACCCCTCAGCAAGTACAGGAGGCCGAAGTAGTCCTTCTCGACAATGTCCAAACTGTCGCACACTTTATCCAGCAGATCGGCCCCTCGCGCCTTACGCTGTAATTGAAAAAAATAAAAATTCGATCTTCGATCCATATAATAATTTGGGGAAAGGGATTGTTAGTAATGGGGACTGAGAATCCCATTGCTAGCAATATACCCAACCAGGTCGCCCTCCCCGCGGTTTCCCCCGGAAACTATCATGGTTAATTCCTAATGAATTCATCATGATGGGCTAACTGGCCTGTATTCATTCTCATCTATCACCTTTCACTGGTGCTCCGCCAGCGTATCCCGTTAGCGCAGGCGGGGTTACCATACCATTTTCACCCATCAAAAAAAAACCCTATCAGTTCGACCTCCATGTGGTCCCCAGAGCTGAACCCAAGGTGTATTCACGATAGGTTAACTGACCTGCCTTTTCATTCTCACCTGAGATCCCTCGCTGGTGCCCCGCCAGTGTATACCGTTAGCGCAGGCAGGGTTACCATTCCATTATCATCCATTAAAAAAAATCCATGTCACCATACTTTCCCGTGGGTGTCGTAACTGGTAAATAAGGTAACTTAATAGCCGAGGGATGGACAGTAGCGTCCTTCATAAAACATCACCAAAGTCTAACTGCGGTTGCCAACCCGCCTGTTAAACGTGGCAACTATTGACAAAACCCCCTCAATAAGTACAAAAGTCGATTGCTTGGGTACCTCTGTCCCATTCGTGTTTCAACCATGAAGCAGTTGTGTTTGCATGGCTGTTTCGGTTTGAAGGGTGGGATATGGCAGTGAGTTTACAGGGTACAGAGAAATAACACCTGAGCGTGGAAACTAATGGTAAATCTCCCCTTATGAGGAATGCCTAACAATGACCAATTAACGGCAAATTTTTTTATTACACATGGTGCAAACGAGCATGCGACTCATCTGATGGTAAGTGACTTAATGAACTGTTTCTAACTTCGTAAAAAATACTGCGTCTTCAATTGTTCACGTCGTTAAGACTTTGACGTATTATAGTTTACTCAATTACTTTAGTTGCTTTGTTTAAATTGAAAAGTAATAAAAATAACGTCCTATTTCATTGGACAATTAAACAATAACAAGTAAATTGTTTAATAATCACCAGAGGGAGACTTTGTACAAAAGTTGATTGCTTGTGTACCTCTGTCCCATTCGTGTTTCAACCGTGAAGCAGTTGTATTTGCATGGCTGTGTTTCGGTTTGAAGGGTGGGATATGGTGTAAATTTACTGTGTATAGAGGAATAACACCTGTGTCCTCAGGAATGGCAACGCATGGAGGGTATTATGGACGAAACAGTATACTCTGTTATGTCCATGGTACTGCTCATGTCTATAGGCGACGGTTACCACTTTACCTCAGGTGAGCCGTCAGCCTGTTTGCCATTCTAAGTTGTATAAGTCATAGGCGTCACAGAATTAGGTCAACCTCCAACCCCCCTCCCCCCCTCTCACACATCATCATTCTTGGTGAATTCATCATAATAAACCAATAGACCTAACTTCATCCACACCTATTGACCCTCACTGGTACTCCACCAGCGTATACACATTCTGATAACGGAGTCGGGGTTACTATTTTCCTCTTAAACCCGTCAAAGTCTATTGTCCAAAAACTGATGTTTGGGGGGAGAAGGGATTGTTAGTAATGGAGATTAACATCCCTATTGCTAGCAATAAACCCTATCAGTTCGACCTCCTCGCGGTTCCCCCTGGAAACCATCGTGATTGTTTCATTATTGAATTAGTCACGATGGGCTAACTGACCTGCTTCACCTTCACCTATTATCGCTCACTGGTGCCCCGCCGGTGTATACCTATAGCGCAGGCGAGGTTACCGTTCCATTATCATCCAGTAAAAAAAAAACTGATTGTAAATAAAAAAAAAATGAGGCAACGAAATGTTTTCGCCGAGCCATCACGACTGCATTCGGTCCGCGCTCGACTGCGTCTAATAACCTGATAATAGCTATTGGTTTCACATTTAGATCACCGCCTTTTAAGAATTTACAAACTTGCTGAGACAAAAAAGTATTGACCGATCACTAAAAATGTATGTCTGTAAATTGTGTATGTTTATTTTATTTGTATTCGATTTACCTTGTATACATTTTTACCTGTACCTTTCCTGTACGGGTAATCTAACCCGCTAAATATTTTCTCTCTAACTGCATTAGGTTGGCTGGAAGAGATCTCTATTAGAGATAAGCCCACCCTTGCTAACTAGTTGTTAAACTAGTCGCTATATCTCTATTTATATATATATATATATATATATATATATATATATATATATATATATATATATATATATATATATATATATATATATATATATATATATATATCCATCCCTATGTATGCCTAAATCTTTAAAACTACGCAACGGAGTTTGAAGCGGTTTTTTTTAACAGAGTGATTCAAGAGGAAGGTTTATGGTATATGTATAATACATGCATAATATTGTAGAGAAACACTGACAAATTTAGAGGTTTCTAATGTGATGGAATGTAATGTGCACCCGTGCGAAGCCGGGGCGGGTCTCTAATATATTTATAAAACTCAGAATGCCGAAAATGGCAATCGTCGCCTAAGAATATGAACAGCACAGATTACCCTGCACCCACGATCCTCATGGGCGCAGTGTAATCATCCTCACCCCTTATAGAAATCACTTAAAAAGGGTCCTACATGAACTTCGACGGTGATGTGGTCTCCGTCCATGAGCTCGACACGGACGCGGCGCGTGTCTCCGCCTGCCCGCCGCTCCCTGATGCCCTCGTCTGAAGCCAGCCGGCGCAAGCTCTCGCGCATAATGCCACCTGCAATATTATTATAACAACTACGTTATGGTTATGGAATGAGCTCCCTGCCGAGGTTTTCCCAAGAGACTACACCATGAGGTTCTTTAAAAGGGGGTAAAGAGGTTTCTTCAGGGTCGACAACGCGCGCGTAATACCTCTGGTATTGCAGGCGTTCATAGGCTACGGTAACCGCTTACCATCAGGTGGGCCGTATGTTTGTTTGCCACCTCAGTGGTATAAAAAAATATGTAAGTACGTTACGTATATTAATCATAGTCATTGTATATCATCTATATCATCGTCATGTCAGCCTTTAACTGTCCACTGCTGAATAATTAACCTCCCCCTTGGGGGGATTTTGCCAGTAGTTACCACGCTTGGCAGGCGGATTGACAACCGCAGTCAGGGTTTAGAGATGTCTAAGAGTTTGGGTAGTTTGGGTACCGAGAGGATAATGTAATAATTTGCCTGAAGATGCCTCATTTAGAGATGACCAAATACCAAGTTTAATGGTGGCACTTAGCATTCTTTAAAGAGTGTATACCAATCAAGTTGAATATTTTTCCCAGAGAGCAATATGGGTCGAAAAAGAGCAAAAAATTGGAGGAAGAATCAATTGGCTTCACTTTCACGGTTAGAAAACCAGTGAATTAGTTTCACTCGTAGTATGGGAATGTTAACTTTAAAGCTATCGCGTTGCATTGTTTATAGTTAACAAAGAGACGGATCATCTAGATAAACTATGATCTGGGACAATGAGCGGGTATTTTTTTTTAATAGGTGATAATGGAATGGTAACCTTACCCGCGCTATCGGTATACACCGACGGGGCACCAGTGAAGGATGATAGATGAGGATGAAGCAAATCAGTTAGCCCATCGTGACGAAATCAACAAGAATTGTTCACGATGGTTTCCAGGGGGAACCACGTGGAGGTCGACCTAATAGGGTATATTGCTAACAATAGGGGTGTCAATCTCCATTCCTAACAAATCCTTTCCCCCCACAATGAGCGGGTAGACGAAAAAAACTTCTGCCTCAGAAATGGAGGCATGATAGTGCTAGATCAATCTACGCGTGACCACGGATGGTGTAACCTGGTCGAAATGTCGAGAAGACACTAAATTACCAGAGTTTACCTAAGCGATTGTGTTATTAAACCATAAGCATGGGAAGCTCTTGATTACTCGTCGTTTGAAGAAGTTTCTATGATAAACATATTCAGTTATGCTCTTAGAAAGAATGCTGATTACTTATTTGGATTCTACTCAATATATTGACATGTAGTCGAGGGATGGGCAGCAGCGTCCCTCTTAAATAATCTCTAGAAGCCTAACTGCAGTTGCCGCCTGCTAATCGTGGCAACTACTGGCCACGTACTGAACACTATTTCTTATAGAGTCTCGTCCCGTCCCCCGATCTATCCAATTTTATAAGCACGTCCTTTTTTTTTAATATCAATTAGCATTTGCCAGCGTATTATTTGTAGAAAAATGCACTATCTAAGGAATTTAGTATTATTATCGTAATTTTGTAGAAAAACATTGTGGTTTTAGTACAAAATTAATGTATTTTAAACAGCGACTAAATGATAATTAAATTAAATTTGACATTAGTTACAATGGAAAGAATATTAATGAATGAATATGAAGTTTTAGGACTATGCATTGACAAGAAAATGAATTGGGAAACTATAATTGACCATATGTGTAAAAAATCGAGTCAAAATAGATAGATACTCTTTATTGTTACCTTCAAAAGATTACAATAGTAAACTTATTATAGATACAGAACAATTACAAGAAATAATCACAATGAGGCAACAATGGGCGACCTTATCGCTAAAAGCGACCTTTGGATGGAGAGGAGTAGTTGTAAACAGTTTGAAGGCGCGATGATGATCCTATTATTTCTAAATATGGAGATGTAATACGTGTAATAATATTGTTCCTTTAAGCAGCAGTACCCAAACAAGATTGCTCAGTTATGAGTAGCAGTCACACACCATCGAGCGGATGGGTCAAGACGCGCTCCAGCAGTCTTATTTGCTTTCACTGTTGAATCTATCTTGTTTAAATCATAGCTACTTACATTACCAACAGTTCAAACAATACTCAGTCATTTTTATCCAATCTCTCGTTATTCGTTTACGTCAATCTCCGAAACCGTTCATTTATTTTTTTATGAAATCTATTTATATATTAATACTCGTATCTATCCAATATCTAATACACATGAGGCCTACAAAATCAAAGACAGCTAAATCCAAGTCTGTCAAATGTTAAGAAACCTACAAAAACTTTTATCAAGGATATGGAACGATATTCTATATTTGAAATCAGATTGTAGAACATTAGAATATTAGTTTTTGATATTTTCCTGCCTTATTCACATATATCTTTATAAATTTTAATGACTTCAGTTATTTAATTATATATACAATACATTAATAAATTAAAGTTAATATACAATTCCTTAAATACTAATACTAATTATAAGTAATCTCCCAACGCACCACGCCGAGGCAGCGCACCCAAGATACTGGCAGCATTACCTCTTTTTGATTTTTAATTGAGAGAAATATTTGAGTACAGTGTGCAAAATGAAATCGATTTTATGGCGTTTAGCTGCCTTTGATTTTATACGCCTCATATATATGTATCAGTATTGTATATTTCAAATGTAGACACATAATTTGTAAATTATATAAACATTTATTGTTATTTCGATTTTTGTTTTGCACCACTGCTGCCCACTCACTACTTCCTATGCCGCTGTGTTACGTTGACTGTAAGAGATCTCTTTTAGTGATTAATTCACGTTTGTTTACATTGTTTCTATTTTTTTTTTGATGTGTGAAAATGGTATGGTAACCCCGCCTGCGCTAACGAGATACGCTGGCGGAGCACCAGTGAAGGGTGATAGATGAGAATGAAAACAGGCCAGTTAGCCCATCATGATGAATTCATCAGAAATTAACTATGATAGTTTCCAGGGAAACCGCGAGGAGGTCGACCTGGTTGGGTATATTGCTAGCAATGGGATTCTCAGTCTCCATTACTAACAATCCCTTTCCCCCCACATTGTTTCTATTTGTTATTATTACTCTATGTTTTAATGCAATAAAGAGTACTTACATTTTGTAAATATGTATTTTTTTAACTCAAACATAGGGTAGACTTTACATTGTTAAGAAAACCTGTACATATATCATCACCTTCCTACCCTTATCCCAACTATTATTTGGGGTCGACGTAGTTTGTTTTATTTTATATACATATTACAAAAAGATTTGCCTTATAGTTTTACAACCGGCCGCCTGCCTGATGTCAACCCTCTTTGGGAATGTATTTGTTGGTGGTTTCCGCCACCTACGGTACGGAGGAAAAGATTGTGGAAAAAAGGAAGGGAACGTTGGAACTGTGGAAAGGAAATTGGTAAATGAGAGGAATAAGGGACTTATGCGGGAAAGGAAAGGACGGCACTGCAGTTTCGGAAAGGACTGGGACTCTGCAGCGGCTCGGAACTCCGGGGTCGCATACCCGTATGCCCTTATTTTAGAATCGGTTCTAGAGAAGGACACCCCTGATACAAAAACTTATTTTTTTTATACAACTTAGAATGGCAAACAAGCTGACGGCCCACCTGATGGAAAGTGGTAACCGTCGCCTATAGACATGAGCAGTACCATGGACATAACAGAGTATACTGTTAAGCCCACGATACCACCCATGCGTTGCCATTCCTGAGGACTCAGGTGTTATTCCTCTGTACCCAGTAAATTCACGCCATATCCCACCCTTCAAACCGAAACACAGCTATGCAAACACAACTGTTTCACGGTTGAAACACGAATGGAACAGAGGCACCCAAGCAATCGACTTTTGTACAAAGTCTCACTCTGGTAAACCTATAGATATACTACTGATCTATAAACAATTCTTGGATCTGCGCAGGTATTTCTTAAAATCATATGTCAGACAATTTTGTTTGCAGTTTGTTGAGATTTGAAGCTGGCACGGAGCCCGGCTGTTACTGTTTACAATCAATATTTTCACCTTTAAATCCGTCTGAACAGAATTTATAATTGAATTCCGAAGTGCGTTGAAATTTCCCGCGCGCAAATTCTAGAATCAATGATCGTATGAAATAACTTTATGATAATAAAATGTATTGTGCTTTTTTCTTTTTAAATAGATAGATAGAGGGAAAAGGGATTGTTAGTGATAGGGTCTAACTGACCCATTGCCAGCAATACGCCCTATCAGGTCGATCTCCACGCAGTTCCCCCTGGAAACTATCGTGGTTAATTCTTGTTGAATTTGTCACGATGGGCTGACTGACCTGCTTTCATCCTCACCTATCATCTCTCACTGGTGTCCCGCTAGCGTATACCGATATCGCAGGTGAGGTTACCACTCCATTATTATTATTGCTTGGGTACCTCTCCCCCATTCGTGTTTCAACCGTGAAATAGTTGTGTTTGCATGGCTGTGTTTCGGTTTGAAGCGTGGGATATGGCAGTGAATTTACTGGGTTCAGAGGAATAACAACTGAGTCCTCAGGAATGGCAACGCATGGGGGGTATCTTGGGCGAAACAGTATACTTTGTTATGTCCATGGTACTGCTCATGTCTATAGGCGACGTTTACCACTTTCCATCAGGTGGGCCGTCAGCTTGTTTGACATTCTAAGTTGTATAAAAAAAAATAGATGGGCATTTATTATTATAGCATATATAACATGATCAAAATTATTAGCATATCAGCTCCTAACGGTCCATTGCTGAACACACTGCCTCTTCAGTCCAGTCCTGAGGGTGTTTTGTCAGTAGTTGTCATGCTTGGCATGCGGATTGGCAATTACAGTTAGGCTTTGGTGGTGTTTTAAGATTGACGCTGCTGCCTATTCTTCAACCATTAAGTTCCTTTAGTTGCCTCTTAGCACACCCATGGGAAAGGAGGTGGGAACCCATTCTATGCCGGGACCATACGGTGAAAATGTTTTGACTCGAATCA